TATTTACTAGGTCACAATGTAAACTATTTCTTACTTGACGTCCAATCAAAATATTCTGTAGGCCACTAACTTAGTCAAATTGACAGACCAGGAAGAAGAAGGCTATTGAAGAAATGCAGTCTGGAATGCTGAGGATAAGGTGAAAGCCTCAAAAAGCAGATGCTGCCCAGACATGGTACTGCAACCTATAATCCCAGTGACTTGGGAAGCTGAAGCAGGGGGATCACAATTTTTAGGCTAGTCTGAGCAACTTCATGACACCCTGTCTCAAAATAAAACTAAAAAGGACTACGGATGTAGCTCAGTGTTAAAGTACCCTAGGTTCATTCCCCAGTACCAAAAAGAAAGAGAGAAGAAAAAAAAGCAGCAGCAGCAGATACAGGTCCATGGCCCACCAGAATATCACCCTCCTCTGCAACCCCATAGCACTACTGCCCCAGGGCAGTGTCCTTTCTCTTTCTGCTCACCAGAATGGGAGTTTCTGTGTCCTTCCAGTTCACCTCAGAAAGTATAGCTATAACATCTGTGAACTCAGATTTCAGAGGAAAAGGTCACAGAAAACAACTAACAGAAAGAAGAAAGGATATTGCTGAGTCTATCCCATGTGGGTACTGATTCACATAAAACACATCAGGGAGAGTTAAACCATTTTATTGAAGTTAGGGGCAGGGACAGGTAGACAGTGAGGAGCCTCACTAGAAATGTCAGATACCAACTAGATGGAGAGGGGATTGGCAGGCTGCCCAGAACAAGAGGGGAGGATGCGCAAAAAAAGCCTTCATCTCACTATTCTCAAAAAAGTCATTACAAGTCACTCAGAAGTATCTTGGGACCCTGAAGGGATAGGTTCGCTTGCTCAAGATTCCCTGAGCATGGAGTTGAGAGACGCTCAGCATCAGGTTGAAAATGATGCTCCTCTGGAGATTTAGGAGAAAGGAAAAGAGAAGAGAAAAACAAATCAGCAAGCACTGTTATGTACACAGAACTAAGTCCTGGGCCTGTCTGATGGAAAGGGACATATAGGACTGATTTGAGATAAAACAGAAGTTGATGGATTCACAAAGAAAAAGGCAGATTTGATTTTACCCAGTGCCAAACATCCAGGCACCCTTCAGATTCAGCCAACCCCAGAAGTAGGATCCCTTCCCTCACCCTTACCTAATTTCCTTAAAAGTTCCCAGTTACTGTTACTATCTAGAAGACTGACTTCAGAGCTAGCTGAACAAAGAGACTTGGTGAAGGTGAAGGCCAGGGGCAGCTTAGATTGGAAGACATCAAAGGAAGTCCTGGAAAGAAGAACAGAATCAGAGACAGAGGTGACATAATCCTCCCAGCACAGATCTATCCTACTTCCTAAGGCCAGTACTTCATAATCCTCCCCTTTTATTTTTTTTTAAGTTTTTTTAATACCTTTATTTTATTTACTTATTTTTATGTGGTGCTGAGGATCAAACCCAGGGCCTCGCACATACCAGACGAGCACTCTACCGCTGAGCCACAACCCCAACCCAATCCTCCCCCTTTATTATCCAAATATATAAAGATATCTCACACAGGGCTGGGGTTGTGACTCAGTGGTAGAACGCTCATCTAGCACGTGTGAGGCCCTGGGTTCGAGACTCAGCACCACATAAAAATAAGTAAATAAAATAAAGGTATTATGTCCAACTACTTCTAAAAACAATTAATTAATTTTAAAAAAATTATCTCACTGCTCTGTATCAAATAAAGAATGCCTTATGGGCTGCAACCCAAAAACTCAGTCTGCCCCCACCAGTCCTGGTCAAATTTAGAATAACTGAACTTGGCCCCAATGCCTGACCTCTATGAGTCAAATCCCTTGCCCTGCCACAGCACCCACACCACCTGACCTGAGGAAATTATGCTCCTGCTGGGCATCCTGGGACTCTGTCCTGGCAGCCTCCAGGGTGTGACTCTTGTTCTCCTGGCCACTTTGCAGCTTTTCCAACATCTGCTAGACCATGGGCCCAGTTAGGACCAAACTTTCTCCCTCCAGGAAGAAACCCCTTCCCCACAATTGGCTTCTTTAGCATACTTGGAACCTTCATATAAGCAAGGACAGTTTCTTATAGCAAAGGAATTGGAAAGAAGAGCTCTGGAGAAAGTGGAATCAGCACAGCAAAAAAAAAAAAAAAAGAGATAAAGATGCTGGTAGGAGAGGGTATCCTGGCCTATTTGCATAATAGGACAAACAGAAAAAAGATGGTGCCTCCACAAGGAAATATGTGGAGATAGGTCTAATGTTGGTTCTACCTTCCAGCTGTGGGCTTGAGCCTGCTGCCCCTCAGTCATCTGCTTCAGCAGCAGCTCCTGGTGCTGGCCTGAAGATGAAAGAGAATTTAAGGGGGTAGTCTCCAATTTTTTCCTTCTCCTTCGCTGTCTTATAACCAACCTGGTACTGAAAACTAAGACAAAAAGCATTCTGGTCTAGATGTTAGAAGCTTCCAAGCTGACTGAATAGACAAAACTCACACCATGATAGGCAATGAACAAAACAAAATATTTCGGTATCTATCTCCCTGCCTCCCTCCCTCTCTCTCTCTCTTTCTCTTTCTCTCTCTCTCTCTCTCTCTCTCTCTC